CTAAGGAAGAACATTCTAGATGGGAATACTTGTAATATACAGTTGATCCTTGACCAACGTGTGTTTGAACGGTACAGGTCTACTCTACTTACACATGGACTTTTTTTGATACTGCATTGGAGTGTCTTTTCTCTTATGTTTTTCTTAATAACATTTTTGTTCTAGCTTATTTTATTGTGAGGATATAGTATATAGTACCTGCAATGTACGAAACACGTGTTAATGGATTATTTAATGTTATGGGTAAGGCTTCCAGAAGATAGAGAAATTAAGTCGAACTAGGCTATTAGTAGTTTAGTTTTTTAGATTCCATGCATAAGTGAAATCATATGGTATTTGCCTTTCTCTGAGTTATTTCACTTAGCAAAATACTGGGTCTACCAATGTTGTCACAAATGGCAAGATCCCATTCTTTTTTATAGCTGAGTAATATTTCATTATATACATATAACACATCTTCTTTATCCATTCGTCTATTGATGGACACTGAGGTTGCTTCCATACTCTCGTTATTGTAAATAATGTTTCAAAAAACACAGGGGTGCATACAACTTTTCGAATTAGTGTTTTCATTTTCTTTGGGTAAATACTCAGTAGTGGAAGTATTGAATTGTATCATATTTCTATTTTTAATTTTTTGAGGAACCACAACACTTTTTGACAGTAACATTATATTCAGGATTTATAAAACGAATAATCTGACAACATTACTAGACAGGCCTTGTAAAATTAATAACTCAATACCACTTGATGGGAGAAACTTTTATTGAAGCAATTTTATAATACCATTAACAAATACTATGTAAAATATAAACTACTTTTTCATATGACGTGACTTAAGGAACTACCAATGTAATGTTATTATCTTTTCCCCAAAAGCTCTTTTCCTAAATATTTACTTCTGTGACCTTTGTTTATTTCAAGGTAAGAATTGTGCTTCGTAGAAATAGCTTGAAGTCCATTAATAAATAGAACACATCTGCAATTTTATTTATACTTTTCCATTTATCAAAAATATAGGCGGGTAAGAAAATTATACACAGAAAAACAATGTACCAATGTATCAGCAAATTTTAATTTGAAGAATTATTAACTAGAAGGATTTTCTCATAACTGTTAGTTTTCAAACTATGCCCATAGTAATCTAACGTTCCACTGGGGACAAAGCAGGATTGAGGGACAAGGAAGTCTACAGGTGTAGTCTCATCTCTCCTTTAGCTAAACAGCTCTACCTGTCTCTGTTTTATATAATACAGTTTAATGCAAAAAAAAAAAAAAATTCAAGTTCTATTCTTTGGGAAAAAAGTTTTTCCAAAGGTATAAAAGTCACTCACTTCGTCAAAGTCCCTAATTTTACATAAGAGACAAAAAGGCCCCAGAGAGATTGCAGTTTGCCTGAGGTCAAAAAACCACCTAGCTGCAAGCCAGGAATGTGGTTTAGGTCTTACTGAGCCTAGAGTTTTATGCCAGTTACTTCCTCATATTCAGGAACAATGCATGCATTTTTAACTATAACTCAGAGAATATGAATACATAAAACTTTGTCATGTGGCTCAATAATGTTCAGGCATTAGGCACAAAATAGCTTTCTAACTAAAGTATAAATTTTAAAGTCATGAACAAAAAGAAAGGAACAGAAGTTATCTTAACTCCTTTTAGTAACAGTCAACATGTGCAATTTATAAGCATAAATTTTTTTAACCAAAGGACAAGGAACTTGAAGGAGAAAATCTTTAGTCGAACCAAAGAACCTGAAACTGAGGAAATTCTTCCTTGAAAGAATTATTCATTTCCTTCAAATAAAACTTTGTTTATCCAAATCAATCAACAAATGAGTTACCTATGTTGTGGGTTATTTATAGCAAAATTTAAAACGCACAACAGATTTCTCTTTACCATCTAGCATGCTCTGTCCAACCTCTCATCATTAGTTGGTATGTACAAAAGACATGATTAACTTTAATTAGAATTTAAATCAAGTCAGAAATTATAGGTAAACCTTCATTTCCATGTGAGGACTTTTCTCTACCTTCCTCACGACAGGAAGGGAGATTTACCTAAAGGGTGAATTTGGGAGAAGGCACTAAGCAATGCATACATGGTTCCAAATCTCTTCTTTAAAAAGATGTGCCTGCCATAGTAGCATGAATTCAAGTCTGCTCTCATCTTTGTGGGATGGGCATCAAACATTTGTTCCTTCCATTACAACTGTGTGTGGAAGTGCCTAATTTGGGATAAAGTACTGGGAAGCTCGCTGTGGCTACCTACCTAAACCATATCCTCCTATTTGTTAGTATGTATTACTAATAAAGTTACTAAGCTTATCTCCATCTGCCTGACTCCTGTGTTCTCAACTCAGAAAAAGAAGAGCAATGTCATCTGCCACCTACTCCACCACAGTTCCAACAAGAAAAATGACCAGACAACACTTAGACATGTTTTCTTCTTCCTTGACTTTATAACTAACATTCATTCTTCAAAGCAACATACTTTAAAGAGGGAAAAAGTTGAAAAGAACAACTTCAGAAACAAACATAGAAAGTCAGCCAAAATGAGGAGACAGGCGAGTATGTTCCAAATGAATGAACAATGCAACACTTCAGAAAAATAACTAAATGAAACAGAGATAAGTAGTCTACCTGATAAAGAGTTCAAAGTAATGGTCATAAAGATGCTCAGCAAACTTGGGAGGAGAATGGATGGATTCAGTGAGAACTTCAACAAAGAGAACATACAAAGAAGAACCAATCAGAGCTAAAGACTACAATAACTGAAATGAAAAATACACCAGAGGGAATCAACAGCAGATTGAAAGCTGCAGAACAGACCAGTGATCTGCAAGACAGGGTAGTAGAAATCCTCCAAGCCAAAAAGAAAAAAAAGAATTTTAAAAATGAGGATAGGTTAAGGGACCTCCTAGGATCGAGCCCCACATTAGGCCCCCTGCTCAGGGAGCCTGCTTCTCCCTTTCCCTCTGGCCCTCCCCTCCCACTTGTGTTCTCTCTTGCTTGCTCTGCTCCCTCTCTCTCTCATAAATAAATTAAAATAAAAAAAAAAGGAGGGGTGCCTGGGTGGCTCAGTCATTAAGCGTCTGCCTTCCACTCAGGTCATGATCCCAGGGTCCTGGGATCGAGCCCCACATCGGGCTCCCTGCTCAGCAGGAAGCCTGCTTCTCTCTCTCCCACTTACCCTGCTTGTGTTCTCTCTCTGGCTGTCTCTGTCAAATAAATAAATAAAATCTTAAAAAAAAAAAAAAAGGAAAGGCCATAACTAGAAGTAAAAAAATTATGAAAGAAAGTTTTATTGGGGGGCGCCTGGGTGGCTCAGTCGGTTAAGCATCTGCCTTCGGCTCAGGTCATGATCCCAGGGTCCTGGGATCGAGCCCCACATCAGGCTCCCTGCTCCGTGGGAAGCCTGCTTTTCCACCCTTCCCCTGCTCTCTCTCTCAAATAAATAAAATCTTTTAAAATAAGAAAAAGAAAGTTTTATTGGTAAAAGCAAACATACAGTAGAGGTAATAGATCAATCACTTTTATAAAGCCAGTATGAAGGTTAAAAGACAAAAGTAGTAATATCAATTATATCTACAGTAATTAGTTAAGGGATACACAAAATAAAAAGATGTAAACTAAGACATCAAATAAATAAAACAAGGTGGGGTGTAAAAATGTAGTGTTTTTAAAATGTGTTTGAACTTAAGTAACCATCAACTTAAAATAGACTGCTATATACATAGGATGTTATATATGAACTTCATGTGATCACAAACCAAAAATCTAAAGGCATCCAAGCATAACACTAAAGAAAGTCCTCAAATTAGAAGGGAAGAGAGCAAGACAATAAGGATGCCGAATGAAGGAACAAGATTGAGGCCTCATTTACCACAAGCCTATGCTACTTTTGTCTACATTAATAAGAACGTGAATATACCATCAAAACCATAAACCTATGTGCATTCATTGAAATGGATATTTTAATAACAATGACACAAAGGAAACTAGCTGCTATTTAAAGACTCCCTATCATTCCCATCTTAGTCATCAATCATTCAACTGATGGCAAGGTAGATATATGTGAACTTCTTTTTAAGAATTCAAATTGTGGGGCGTCTGGGTGGCTCAGTCACAGTTAAGTGTCTGATCTTGATTTTGGCTCAGGTCACGATCTCAGGGTTGTGGGACTAAGCCCTACATCGGGCTCCACACTGAGCATGGAGCCTGCTTACCCTCTGCTCCTCACCCCCTGCTTGCACTCCCTCTCTGGAAAAAAAAAAAATCAAATATTTGCTTGATTTAGCTATTTAGAAAATGCTCTACAACTGCTCAAGACATTTTGTAAAACGTGAAATAGAAGTGTTATAAGTAAAAAAAAATGCTATAAGTAAGAAAGCAATTAAAAATGTACTCTCATGTGAGAAAACAGGTCATGAGACTGGGCCCTATGTAGGGTTCCATGCTCGGGGGGGGGGGGGGATCTGCTTGAAAGTCGCATGCTCTCTCTCCCTCTTGTGCACTCTCTCTCTCTAAAATAATACAATCTTTAGGGGCGCCTGGGTGGCTCAGTCGTTAAGCGGCTGCCTTTGGCTCAGGTCATGATCCCAGGGTCCTGGGATCAAGCCCCACTTCGGGCTCCCTGCTTGGAGGGAAGTCTGCTTCTCCTTCTCCCACTGCCCTTGCTTGTGTTCCCTCTCTCACTGTGCCTCTGTCAAATAAATAAATAAAATCTTCAAAAAAATAAAATAAAATAAATAAAATCTTAAAAATAGTAAAATATGTCAGTTTAGTTATATTTACTAAATAAAGTTAATAATAGGTATCTCTTGAAAGTAAGAGCTCCAGGAACTAAAAAAAAATCGTAAAATTTCTGTCTCATTTCTTTATTAGCGCATATAATTATGACTTTTACTTAGTGTGTGTTAGTTAAACAACTCAGAATTTCACCAAATTAAAAACAAAAATTATATCAGAAATCTGAAACCCAAGGGCAAAAAGATAACTAACCTTGGTCAAGAAAGTCTCAACGCCATTCTTTGTAGGCCGTGAGCTTGAGGTAGGAATCACTAGGTTTTCTCTCGGAGCAACATATCTATTGAACAGTGAACTATTATTCATATTTCTAACAGAAGGCAATTCTAGGACAGGGCTCATAGCAATAGTATTAATCAAAGACTTTTTTTGCTGTGTCTCCACCAGAAGTTTGGTACTGGTCTCTGCCAGCTTCTCATTAGTCCTGTTAAGATTACAAAACACAATGCTTAGTATTTCATTTCTCCCCAAATCATTCCTAAGTGACTTGCATTTTTTTAAAGTTTCCATAATAGTAAACAGAATGTGCCATTAAACGGTGTTTTAACACTGAAAATGTGACAGAGCAGACCTACAATATATAATGATAGGTTTAAAATTGCTCTAAAGGACATATATTTCTAGAGGATTCCTAACTAACAAGTAATTCAAATTAAGGAGGGACAGAAATGGCTATTAGTGATGCACATGGCTTAACAGGTAATACCTGCTGCCTTCTGGAATGGCTGGACTTAACAAGATTCTTGAGGATGCCATTACACATACTTATATTTAGTAAACCAGGATGCCATTACATATACTTCTATTTAGTAAACCAGTTTAGAGATATAAAAATATAAAACCATCCCAGGGGGCTGGGTGCTCAGTCAGTTAACCATCTGCCTTCGGCTCAGGTCATGACCCCAGAGTCCTGGAATCGAGCCCCTGCTTTTCCCTCAACCTCTGCCTGCCGCTCCCCCTGCTTGAGCTCACTCGCTCGCTCTCTGTCAAATAAATACATAAAATCTTTAAAATAAAAATAAAAATAAACCATCCCTCAAAGACATTTTCAAGCATTGGCTTTCACCACTCTTGCACATTTCACTCATTACCTCAGAGAAATTGAGCATTTGGCACTGAGGAATAATTTAGACCAACAATTGCTAGATGGCAGAGTTGTGATCAGAAAGAAATAAAACAGCTCCAGAGCCAATTAGGTTATAACACAGCTACCAGGGTACTGGAGGTGGAATCTACCCTTTCTGTCTTTCACCCAGCCCCTCCTCATGTCCACCATGGTGCTTTTTTTAGCCACTTTGGGAATTATACTGCCTTTCGGCCCCTAGGGGAATCTTTTTGTATTTCACATGTATACTTTTATGTAAGGTAGAAAAACTATAAAGAACAGTTTGTTTCAAAGCACCCTCTATTTGGTAATAATAACAAAAATCACAATCAAAAAAGTAAATTTACCAAGCTGCCAGGATGTGCAGTTGGGTTACAGATGTATTCTTCCAAAAATAAACTCACTAATATTAATAAACTCATTTCTATTTAGGGCAATTCTGACAAACAATTTTATAATAACATGCTGTCTAAATTATAAAGCTTCTAACCATTAGCTTAAAGACTAGGAGATCAGATTAACTGAAAATATTAAGGGGAAAAAAATAAAATCACGTAAAACCAAAAAAAGGAGGAGAGATGCAAACTGTCTTGGACGAACATTTCAAAGGTAAGTTCTTTTACAAACATCATTTTCCAAAATTAAACTATCTAATTGGCTTTCACTTCCTACTCATCTCATGAACCTGGCTCCATAAAAATTACACTTTAGAGGCAAATTAACAAGCTAAATCTATTTTCTATGATTCTGTTTTAACTTACTTGTTCAGTTCATTTGTCAATGACATTCGAACTTTTAATTCTTCTAGGTAGAGTTGCTTGTATTTTTCCAATTCTGTTTTATTAAAATCTTCTTGAGAACATTTCATTCTGGATAGTTCAAATTCTAGTTCTTTAATTCTGAGTTCCATTTGATTTCTTATTGAAGCATTATTAGCTTCTCTTAACTGTCCTAAGCTTTCTTGAGATGCTACTTGTGTCTAAAGCAAATTAAAAGCATACTTTTAAAATAAGTTATAACCTGGGTAATTATAGTATATTTCTTTCCTTTAGTTTTGAGTCAATGATTCAGAGAGCAATTGTAAATGTGAAAAAAAAGCTGAAGCGTAAAATATTTGTCATCAAGGTCAACTGAATTAAATCTGAATGATAAAGTTCAATCATTCTTATATTAGAACTCATGCAATCTGGTAATTCAGAGAATAATAGAATCATTTAAAACTTTAAAAAAGTGAACAATACAACTTAAGAATAATTCAAGTACCGGGGGTGCCTGGCTGGCTTAGCCGGTTGAGCGCCTGACTCTTGGTTTCTGCTCAATTGTGATCTCAGGGTCATGAGATAAAGCCCTGTGTCATACTCAGCATGGAGTCTGCCTGGGATTCTCCTCTCCCTCTGTGCATCCCCTCACCCGTGCTTTCTAAATAAATAAATAAATATCTTAAAAAAAATAATCCAAGTATGGTACAATTTTTTTTTTTTTAAAGTAGGCTCCATGCTAGGCTTGATTTCACAAGCCTGAGCTGCTCAACCAACTGAGCCACCCAGGCACCCCATGGTTAAAATTTTTAAAACACCATCTTTTCTTTTCCTGTCAATAGTCTTGTTTTATACCAAGTGATCTTAAAAAATAAAATGATTCTCTACTGTGAATCATTCTGAAAAATCAATTTAGTGAGAATAATGATGAAAACTGAAATTTTTTTTTAAAGATTTTATTTATTTATTTGACAGAGAGAGAGATAGCGAGAAAGGGAACACAAGCAAGGGGAGTGGGAGAAGGAGAAGAAGGCTTCCTGCGGAGCAGGGAGCCCGATGCGGGGCTCGATTCCAGGACCCTGGGATCGTGACCTGAGCCGAAGGCAGACGCTTAACGACTGAGCCACCCAGGCGCCCCAATGAAAACTGAAATTTTTAAAGAGAAGGAACAAATGCTTCCAGAAATTTACCAAATTGCTATAAAGGAAGTAGAGGAAAACTATACAATGCATATAACCAAAATGTAACTTGCAGTGAAATGATTAAAGCATACTACAGATCAATAAATTAACCTGGAAAAACAGATTGGCTTCTTTTAATTTTTCTGTTATGTCCAATCTTGTTCTTTCTTCAAGCTCCCGTTTATAGTGTTCTATTTTACTGTATTCTACCATACTGAATTCTACATGACTTCTGAGGTTTACTACTTGTTCCAACTTCTTTTTATTCTTCTCTAGTTTTTCATATTTCTTCTGCATTTCCTTCATAGATGTTAACTCCTGGGTAAGAAGCTGGTTGTTTGCATCCAGGTATAGACATTTTGAAGACGCAGTTTCCAGTTTTGCTGTAAGATCATCAACCTGCATGAATAAAATAATACAGTTTGGAAGTAGAGTGAAAATAGTCTAATGCAAAACTATGACCAAGTTTTTTTTTTAAAAGATTTTAAGTCTCTACACCCAACACGGGGCTCAAACTCACAACCCCCAAGATCAAGAGTCACATGCTCTACTGACAGAGCCAGCCAGGTGCTCAAATTTTAAAATAAATTCATTTTCAACAAAATGTTATCTATATTGTAAGTAGAGTCTTGGAATGTGGAACCTCAAATAACTCAGAAAATCAAGAACAAAATTAAAACCACTAGTAGTTACTAAAGGAGATCTCTGCTATCGTTCTCTTTGCCACACATTTATACTTTTATTTTTCTATGATTGTTTCAGATCTTTCCTTCACAAAATAACTGTAAGTCATCTCTTAGTAGAAAGTCTCTTAACCCTTCCCTCATCTTAACACTCCATAATTTTTTTTAAAGATTTTATTTATTTACTTGAGAGGGAAAGAGAGCAAGAGAGCAAGAGTGCAAGAGCAGGGGGAGGGAAAAGCAGACTCCCCACTGAGCAGGGAGCCCAGCGTGGGGCTCAATCCCAGCATGCCAGGATCACGACCCAAGCCAAAGGCAGACACTTAACTGACTGCGCCACCCAGGTGCCCTGGTACTCCATAAGTTTTAAAGAAGTTTTAGGAATATCATATTGACTTATGTAGGTCTCAGCAAATAAATGCTTACCAAAATAAGACTTTGAAAATAAAACTCTAATTAATGAATCTATAAAGACTGATTTTAATGCCATAAGCCTTTTTCTGAATTACAAATGTTTTATGCTAATTTGAATTGCATTCTGAGAAGAAATGATTTGCAAGGTTAAGAAATCGCATCTCTCAGTAAAAAAATTTAGTGAGATGATCCATACATTTTTGACCAAAAAAACCCCCCAAAAAACCCCCTTAATTCAACAGTATTATAATCCTTTGTTACATCCCACAAAATAAGACAAAAACAACCAAAAAACTTGCTGGAGTTTCAGTGATGCTGAATTGGGAAGAACTTCTTTCTTTTAGATATGATTGGTAAGACAAGATGAGTGGATGTGGTGGTTTTATAAATTCTTTGACACTTCTCCCATGACAATCCCCCCCCCCCCTTAATATGTGCTGGCCTTAGTAACTGGTTTCTAGTGAATAGAATATGGCAGAACTGCTGTGTGATTTTTAAGGCTAGGTTACAAAATGTGAGATAGCCTCCATCTGACTTTTTCTACAGAAGCTCACCCTTAGCATCCAGCTGTTGTGGGAAAGCCCAGGCCACCTAGTGAGTCCTCATGCAGATACTGCAGCTGAGACTGCCTCAGCTAACATCCTAGTCAAAAAGCAGCCTCAACAGCCAAACATGTGCATGAACAAGAACAAGGTTTTAGATGATTCTAGTTCCCAGCTTCCAGTCATCCCAGCTGATGCCAAATGAAGAAGAAATGAGTTGGCCTTACTCAGCCTTGTCTAAAGATGTGTGAACAAGATAAATGCTGTTTTGAGCCACTGGGTTTTGAGATGGTTGAGTATGCAGCAATAAATAACTGGCACAGATACTGATATTAAAAATGGGGTGCTGCCATTAAAAACAAAACAAACTAAAAATAAACCTCCTTTGAACCAGGAGGTAGGTGGAACCTGAAAGGATGTAGAGAAGAGTAAGAATGAAAACCAAAAGGGCTTCCAAGAAACTGTTAGTGGAAACCTGATGGCCCTTGAAGAGGCTTACAGCAAAGGTTTCTAGACAAGTGAAGAAAATGACACTAGAGGGAAAGGAACTCATGCAACAAACCACTTGAAAGGAAACTCATAGGGGAGATAAGCTAAAGAAACACTATTCAATATGAAGGAACCAGGATTTGCTGGGTTCAAATATCTGTTTCTCATTTACAGCCTCTCCACATGTTGAATTGTCAAATAATGCTAAAATAAATGGCTTCTGGGTTAAGAGCAAATCGAGGAAAACATGGTCTATGGATGAAGCCAAGACTATAAAACCCTTTATTAAGACCTCGGAAGGTTTTAAGGTGTGCCTCCAATTTCTTTAAGGATCTTAAGAGTATAAGAATTTTAAAGGCATTGTCAAATAAGAGGTTCACAGGAAACCTGAGTTGAAAAGCTTATCTCAAAAAGACCCAGGAGAATGGCTTTTCTAATGGCATGAACTCCAATAATATTCACAGAAAACTCAAAAAGTGAAGAGAATTATAGGGGCATCTGGGTGGCTCAGTCGGTTAAGCGGCTGTCTTCAGCTCAGGTCAAGATCCCAGGGTCCTGGGATCGAGTCCCACATCAGGCTCCGAGCCTGCCTCTCCCTCTCCCTCTGCCTGCCTCTCTGCCTACTTGTGCTCTCTATCTCTCTGTCAAATAAATAAAATCTTCAAAAAAAAAAAAAAAAAGTGAAGAGAATTAGAGAAGCAAAAACACTGTTTGCGAGCTTGGACTAAAAGAGACCAAGATAGTACAAGCTGAAAATAGGCCTTTGGGTCTTAGAAGTCCCACAGGGAGGAAGCAGGCTGAAAAAACAGCTAAAAACACAGGTCATTCCTTATGAAAAGGACAGAACCAAGAGCTCAAAGAGTAAAGCAAAGAGCCATGGAGAAGTATTCCCATGGTTAGGACTAAGTCCTAACTAAAGAACTGACAGCATGCTTCAGGCTATATTTCAAAACTGCTATGGACTAGCGTGCTTCCCATCTTCTTTCTGAATGGGAGAGTCCTTAGCAGGTTATCCGCATCCTGCATTTTGAGTGGTAGAGAACTGTCACTTTAATTCTCAAGTCTTCATATTGAGAGGACTTGAACTCAAGGGACTATAATTCAGACACCTTAACCCCACTGCTCCTGATTAAAATGGTAAGATCTTGGATTCAAGCCTGAACCTAATGCCATGATAACAGATTTGTGGGAGGAGGTGAGTGTATTTTTCATGTTGGAGGAATACAAAAATATGCTGGTTTTTAAATGTGTCCATAGGTTTTTAAATATTCATTCTATTAAAAATAAATAAATAAAAAGACCGTGGGCCAATCTTAGTGACTTATCTCCTAACAAACAGAATATGGTGAATGTGATGCTGTGTGTATTCCAAGGCTAGGTTACAGAGGCAATAGAGCTTCTGCCTTGCTCTGTATCTCAGGCTGCTTACTTGGAATTTAGCCCTCCAATTTGTGAGGAAGCTCAGGCCACAAAGAGAGTCTAGGTGTTTCAGCTGCCTGCCTTAACTATAGTCCTAGTCAACAGCGAGCATCAACAACACCAGAAGTGATGGAACAAATCTTCAAACACTTCCATCCCCAAACCTTTCAGTTGCCCCACCTGAAGCTAGGGGAACAGAAACAAGCTGTCCTGGCCACACTTTTCCTAACAGATTTGTGAACAAAATAAATGTTATTTATTTAAGCCACTAAACTTTGGGGAGTTTGTTAAGAAAAAAAAACAAAAAAAGATAAATGGATGATAAAAAGAGTTAATAAGATACATAACTTATATAGTAGAAATTGGTCTCCATTAAAGTGGGAAGTAATAAATGTCAAGATTAATTTATTAATGACAAACAGTGCTAATGAGAAGCAGCACATAACTAGAAGCAAGATCTAAGAAGTTTTTCTCTCCATTTTCCCCCATTTAGGGTGACATTACCTATGCATTTTTTATATATGACCTTTATTATGTTGCAGTATGTTCCTTCTAAACCTACTTTGTTGAGGGTTTTTATCATGAATGGATGTTGTACTTCGTCAAATGCTTTTTCTGCATCTATTGAAACGATCAGATGATTCTTCTCCTTTCTTTTATTAATGTGGTGTATCACATAGATTGATTTGCAGATATTGAACCACCCCCACAACCCAGGAATAAATCCCATTTGATCATGGTGATGGCTTTTTAATGTATTGTTGGATTCAGTTTGCTAGTATTTTGTTGAGGATTTTTGCAACTAGGTTCACCAGAGATACTGGCCTGTAGTTCTCTTTGTGGTGTCTTTATCTGGTTTTGGTATCAGGGTAATAATACTGGCCGCATAAAATGAATTTGGAAGTTTTCCTTCCTTTTCTGTTTTTTTTTTTTTTTTTTTTTTTTTTTTTTTTTTTTTGGAGGGGGGAACAGTTTGAGAAGAATAGGTATTAACTCTTCCTTTAAGTGCTAGGTAGAATTTGCCTCTGAAGCCGTCTGGTCCCGGACTTGGGTTTGTTCAGAGTTTTTTGATTACTGATTCAATTTCTTTGCGGGTTATCAGTCTGTTCAAATTTTCTATTCCCTCCTGTTTCAGTTTTGGTAATTTGTATGTTTCTAGGAATTTATCCATTTCTTCTAGATTGTCTATTTGTTGGCATATACTTTTTCATAATATTCTCTCATAACTGTTTGCATTTCTGTGGTGGTGTTATTTCTCCTCTCTCATTTGTGATTTTATTTATTTGGGTCCTTTCTCTTTTCTTTCTGTAACTCTGGCTAGAGCCTTGTCAGTTTTATTAATTTTTCCAAAGAACCAGCAACTGGTTTCATTGATCTCTTCTAGTTTTATCTTTTTTAAGTTTCTATACTATTTATTTCTGCTGTATTTTTTTTTAAAGGATTTGTTTATTTGAGAGAGAGAGAGAGAGAGAGTGGGGAAAGGGGCAAATGGAGAGGAAGTGAGGGAATCCTCAAGTAGACTCCCCGCTGAGCATGGAGCCTGAAGCAGTGCTCAATCCCAGGACCTTGAGATCATGACCTGAGCGGAAATCAAGAGTTAGCTGCTTAACCAACTGAGCCACCCTGGTGCCCCTATTTCTGCTCTAATTTTTACTATTTCCTTCCTTCTGCTGACTGTACGCTTCATTTATTATTCTTTTTCTAGCTTCTTTAGGTGTAAGGTAGTTTGAGATTTTTCTTGCTTCTCGAGCTAGGCCTGTATTGCTATATACTTCCCTCTTAGGACCACTTTTGCTGTATCTCAAAAGTTTTGGCGAATGTGTTTCATTTTCATTTGTTTCCATGTATTTTT